GGTGGGGCCCGCCATTTTTTGAAATATTTAAATACACTGCGAGGCCCACTTTTTAGTCTATTCTGGCCAATTTCTATTGCTTCTTCTTATGTACAAATGGGAAAAGTGATTGCACAATTTCCCTTGACTTTATTGTAGTAGACTAATTAAGTCTTGCACCTATATTAGAACCAAGATAGGGACTTTAACTGGACTCACAAGATCTAAGTTTCAATAGATGTTTCTAATTGGATCAATTCTTGACCAATTAAGATACGTCTATTAATTCCGGCTTATTCTACCAATAGTTGAAATTGCACCCTTGAATCGAATGATAATAATCGAAGCAAATTATGATCCGATAACAATATCCTCCGATATTTGCAAAAAAAAATTTGATGAATTTTATATCCGAAAAAAGTCATACCCCATGTAGATTTTTCAGATGTAAAATTTCGAAAAATTTTGACGTCATATCCTAAGTAAATTTTCCTAATAAAATTATAAAAATTATATTGAGGAATTTGTCACACAAAAATAATAAAGATTGATTAAATAATTGAATAATTTTAAAGAAAATATGCGTTATTCTTTTTAAGGCACATGTTTGACGTACCTTTAACTATTTTTTATGTCTGTTTAAATTATTTGATATATCTATGATATAGTTCTCGAAACGAATTTCAAGATCACGTAAGCGATTTGTGGATTCGAGTAGCGTACATTCGTCGATTTTTTTTTAAAATTAACATGTTATCGAAATTTTCAAAATATTAGTATGGAACGACCTATTTTGATAAACCATAACATTTGCTTATTGACCGTTTCACAATCTATTAATGACATAGAAAACTAGGTCATAAATACTTCAAAGTGGTATTAAAAATGTAATATTTCGATTTTGTTTGACATCTTGTAACGATACTGAAAATTGAGATAAAAATATAAAAAAAATTAAAGATGGTGTTAAAAAAAAAAATTCCCCAAAAGTTGAGTGTCACGTGACCCGTGCCACCCCTTGTGTCCGCCAATGACCAAGCTGGTCCCAAAGAAAATGAGAGAAAAATAAATACTAGAAAAATTAGAAAAGAAGAAAGGAAAAAAATTCGCAATACAATTTTCATACCCCATGTAAATTTTCGGATCAAAAATTTATGTGGCATAAATTTTTCGGCTGTAAAATTCCGAAAATTTTTGACGTCGTACCCTAAGTAAATGTTCCTAATAAAATTATATTGAGAAATTTGTCACACAAAAATAATAAAGATTAATTAAATAATTGAATAATTTTAAAGAAAATACGAGTTATGCTTTTTAAGACACATGTTTGACGTACCTTTAACTATTTTTATGTCTGTTTAGATTATTTGATGTATCTATAATATAGTTCTCGAAACGAACTTCGAGATAACGTAAGTGATTTGTGGATTCGAGTAGCGTACAATCGTCTATTTTTTTTTTTTAAAATTAACATGTTATCGAAATTCTCAAAATATTAGTATGGAACGACCTATTTTGATAAACCGTAACATTTGCTATGATTGACCGTTTCACGCGCTATTAATGATATAGAAAATTAGGTCATGAACACTTCAAAATTATATTAAAAATATAATATTTTGATTTCGTTTGACATCTCGTAATGATACCGAAAATTAAGATAAAAATATAAAAAAAAATTAAAGATGGTGTTAAAAAAAAAATGCCCAAAAGTTGGGGGTCACGGGACCCGTGCCACCCCTTGTGTCCGCCAATGACCAAGCTGGTCCCAAAGAAAATGAGAGAAAAATAAATACTAGAAAAATTAGAAAGGAAGAAAGGAAAAAAATTCGCAATACAATTTTTTTTTTTACTTCAAATAATTTAGAAAATACTTGAAAATTTTAAGTTATAAAACATCCCAACTTTCCCCCCCTTTTTAACATCCTATCTTTAAAACTATTGTATATTTGTTCATCAATTTCAATTTAAAAGGTATTCTACAATAATAATTTGAGAATTAAAATTATTACTAGATATGTGGATCATACCAATTCTTTTTTTTTTTTTTATCGATTATATAATAATCATCATTCAATAATTAAGCGCTAATTATTAATAAACAAATAATTAGGGAATTATTTTCCTTAATTACGACGACAATTATAATTAGGGAATTAAACCCTAATTATAACTTAATAAATATCTACTTGTTTCTATTAATTACATCTAGAATTTTAATTGGAGAATTAACCACCAATAGATTCAAGTCAAACTAAAATAACTTAATTAACCACTAATTAGATTCAAGTCAAATTTAAATAACTTAATTTATACATAATTAGAATAAATTTAAATATTCCATAATCTATTCTATGCAAGGAGAGATGTTATTTAACCCTAGTGAAGTAATTGGTGCTACGCACTAATTTATATAGTCGTGGGGCTAAATAGCATTAATTATTCTTGTATAATTTAGCTTCGTTTACGTTTAATCATAACCGGTCTCAAGTTTCGGGAAAAGGAGGGTTGGTTCATTTCTTTATTTGTTCGTTTCTTTGTTCAAGAATAGATTGGGAAAAAGGAGGGTTGTTTAATTCTTTTTTATTTGTTTATTTCATTTTTCAAAAATCTATTCTTTTAAGAGAAAAAAAGATTAATAGCATAAATTCTCTCTACAAACGTTTCCATTTGTGATATACTCCATACCTATTGAAAATCGTAGAAAACTCTCTGTTTGAAACATTTTTGTACGAAAAACCCTCCCACCGTCAAATTTTTCGTTAAAAATAGTAAAAATATCAAAATTAAAAAGTAATAATTGCAATTTTAGTATCCAAATTTTTTATTCTTTTACAAATTAAACTCAATTTTTTTATGTACCTACCACCTACAATCCAAAACCTTTGAAACTTTATTTTCCACCCCACCCTACTTCATTTTCTTCCTCAAAACTTTATTATTTTATTTAAGAATTATGCTTGATGTACATATGAGGGTGTCATTTCCCTCACATGGGAACATGTGGTGGGACCCATCCCATGTGAGGGAAATGACACCCTTATGTACAAAAATTATGTACACCAAGCAAGGTCCTTTATTTAATCCCTTACAAAATCCTCATAAATCCCTCACCCCAAATTCATCATTTCTTCTTCTCATTCCAGATAGGGATCTTTGGAGTGAGGGATTTAGGAGCTAAGAAAAGTGCTTTTTGGCTATCAATTCGAAGTTTCTTATAGAGATATTATTTAGCTCGAGTATTTTTATTTTTTCTACTTGTATGTACACTCGATATAGAGATAGTTATAATGTATATTTTTTTCTGTCTTTCTTTTCAATTCATTCTACAAGAGTTTAGTTAAAGTTTAATATAGAAATCAATGGGTGACAATCAGTATTCTTTCTCTCTGATCACTTTCAATATGCGTTCATTCACTTTGTATGTGTTCTAAATTTATTTTAATTTCAATACAAAATAATAAGTTCTGCATATGCGTATATTGATTATGATTTTTCATTGTTAATGAGAAGAATAAATGATGAATTTGGAATGAGGGATTTTGGAGGATTTTGGAAGGAATTAAATAAAATAATAAAGTTTTGGGAAAGAAGATGAAGTGGCGTGGGGTGGGGCGGAAAATAAAGTTTTAAAAGTTTGGAATTGCGGTGGTATATAAAAAAAAAATTTGGGTATAATTTATAAAAGAATAAAAAGTTTAAATACTAAAATTGCAATTATTATTATTTAATTTTGATATTTTTACTATTTTTAACGAAAAATCTGACGATAAGAAGGTATTTCGTACAAAATGTTTCAAATATTGGGGGTTTATGCGATTTCCAATAGGTATGAGGTATATCGTAAATGAAAATTTTTCTACAGGGGTTTTCTGCTATTAACCCAAAAAAAAAAAAAAAAAAAGGAAGGGATATGTGCCTGCTTGGTCCGATGGGCCAAACTAGGGCCCAACAATGGAAGAAGGGCCAGCCCTATATTTTATAGGGGCAGGGTCAGCCTGTGAAGTGGGCCTGATAGGGACAGAACGACCCGGCCCATTACCATCCCAATACAAATAAGTCACTCACCACCTAATCCAGTACCGGATAACAACTGTAATGTAGTCCCTACTTTGTTCAGTGTTTGGAACTTCTTCCAAGTGCAAATAGATTCGAATATATCATTTAACAAAGTAGAGAGTCACAAGCAATTGGCATATAATATCTCCAGCCGTCGGTCCATTATTGCAAGTGGACCTACCCACATCCCACTCTTCCAACCAACCAAATCCACTAGCATGTAGTGCAAAAAATTGCAAGTTTTGGCATGTTTCTTGTGGGGAAAATATATGTATATATGTACTATGTATATATACAGACAAATATTTTAATGTACTCCTGTGGAAAAAGCTTATAGTTGTGTGCCTTATATATTTAATTATTTATATTATTTATTCAGCCTTTGAGTGAAAAGGAAAAGAGAGAAGGCAACTTGGTTTTATCCTCTCTCTCTCTCTCATTCTTTAGTTTCTTCTTCTGCAACTCTTCAAAGGAAAACCCAAAAAATATATAATGGGGGACAGCAGAAATATGGAGTCAAAGATTTCCAAAGAATTAAAATCAGAAACTCAAGCATCCAAGAAAAGGTAAATTTTTCAAGTTTTGGATTTCTTGAGAAGTTGTTGGTACTAAGAGTACATTTATGGTTGTTTTTGTTAGTTAGTTGTTTGTGTTTTGGATTACAAAGATTTTTTTTCAAATCAAGAGGAAATTTTTAAAGATTTTATCTTTTTCAGGAAGAATTTGGATCAGAGGGTTGTGGTGGAGGTGAAAATACAAGCAAGTGATAAGAAACAGAAAAGTGAAGGGCCACCTCCTGATTGTTGGTCTTGGAGAAAATATGGACAAAAACCCATCAAAGGATCTCCATACCCAAGGTTCATTTTCCTCATCCTATTACAAACTCAGTATGTTAAGGTCTCTCTGAGTTGTCTCGGACCTTGAGATCACAATATGATCAAGTGATTTCTGCGCCATCTCAAACCTACACAATGTTTTCTGATACTCTCAGTCCTTGTGATCAGTAGGCTAAAAGCTTTTGTCCTTGCCCTTAATTTCCACTTACCCCCCACCCCACCCACCAAAATAAGCACTTATTTTTCTTCTTGCTACTTGATTACAGGGGTTACTACAGATGCAGCACATCAAAGGGTTGTTCAGCTAAAAAACAAGTGGAAAGATGCAGAACAGATGCATCCATTCTCATCATCACTTACACATCCAATCATAACCATCCAGGCCCCACACATCATTCCTCCACCAATCAAACTCAAGAGCTCAATGAACCTTCACTCCCAGAACTCACAGAGGATCATCCTGCGATCCCGGATCCAGAAGAAGAACCAGATATAAAGGATCAAGAAACCGCATTGGATGATCATTTCCACTATTCCCAGTCTCCATTCAATTCTGCCCAAGAAATCATTATGGATCAAGAAATGAACCCTTTCACAGAAAATCTGCAAAACCCATATGATTATGATTCACACAGAGTACTTATAAATGAAGAGCCCTTTCTATACTCTCATCCAGTGAACTTCTCAGAATCTAAATCAGAAGAAAATGACTTCTTTGATGAGCTTGAAGAACTACCCATGTCTTCATTTTTGACAAATTTCATGAGAAGTAGTACTTTGCTTGAGGAAAGAATTCTTGTAGACCTTTCTTGATTGCAGCATTCACTTTCAATGCTTGCAGATTTAATTAGAGAAATGTACCTAGCAGACTAGTTGTTCATGTAAATGTAGCTACTACTTTCATTTAGCAAAATTGATAGTGTCACTTTGATGCGTCGATAGGATGTTAAGGATTAAGCCTTAATCTCGGGAGCAATATCAATGCACATATTTATGGTGGTTTACTGATACGTACTTTCATTTGACGCTTGCTGATGCAGTTTTCCTAAAAAAGATTACATCTTTTCACACCTCTCATTCCAAAACCGCCCCCCTAAAAACATCATTTATGTTCTAAGAATGTTTTAGCCACCTAATACATGAATTGGACAATCATACTACGTGCACATCTTCATTTACACTTCTGGCCTACCATTTCCCGCAATTCCTCATTGATGATAAAAGTGTACGTCTTAATTGATCTCTAGATACGGCATACCAAAAGAGAACTAAAAGGGTAGTAGTTTCTAACTGTCACGAGTTGATAAACACAAGAATTTAGTGCCTAGAATTTTAATTTTTTCATCTGTTATCTTGCTCTTGGAGTGGGTTTATTTGATATATAAAATAATATATACAAGTGGCAGTTTACTAGATAGGATCTGTTCTGGTGTCGAATCTGCCTCCTCAAAAGCAGTAAAATAGCCCTTTTGTTTATTGGCAACTTTAACAAATTGTACATTTTAAGTACAAAAGGCCAAATTTCCAAGGCAGGGGAATCCCATTTGTGGGATAAGATTCAACAAGCATTTGGATTTTTTTTCCTCCTCCCCATAAATTGGGCTTCCCAGTAACTTATAGATTGATTTAAGGAAATTTTGGCTTGTAGAATTGCTTATAATTGGACAATATAACTACGTGAAATTTTAACTTATTTTCCTTCTCCAAGTATAATTTGATCTACCTTTTTAAACACATTATTTTGAGTATTTACAAACATTCGTACATAATGATTCAATATTAGGTGTCCACTCTTTACAGTACTTATATTTGCAAATTGTTTTCCTAACCAAAAGAAATAGACAAAACTATTTCTTACAACATGTGCTCACATAACAAGACTTGAACTATCCTGAACAATTCTTAGTATCGGCGACGAGCATTAACTCGAACAAGTCCACATTATAAATAAGTGGCCAAACAATAAATCATAGGTGGTGAACAAATATAAACTTCAAATTTATAAAATTATCTATGTTGCAATTGATCAAATGATTCCCAGTACAAAGAGTTGCTAGAAAGATAATAACTTCGCAATATCATCAACAACAATGATCCTCAGCACAAAAAGTTTTTACTTTTTCTGTTGTCTGAAAATGCAGTTGGAATCATCATGATTTGCACTAGTCAGGTTAAGTGCAAGTTTCCTTCAAGTTGATTCCTTTCTAGGCTTGATAAAATGAACCATTTGGCGGCCCCCCTATTGGAGGGGATCTGCTGCTGACACGAAATTTAATCCCGGGACAACCAGCATTTTTGTTTTATCAAATAGAAACATGCTTTTGAAGTGGCCAATGACCTCCGCATATTCATGTTTTGTAGACATTTTCTAATTTTGTCTCTGATTTTATTTTTTTCGGAGTCCACAAAATCACCCACTTATTTCCATTTTTTCCCATTTTTTGAGTAAAATGTATTATGGAATAATAATTTTTTAAAGAGTGTGGGACTAAAAAGTAGGAATTTTTTTTTGAAATACATGTATAATTAGTTTATAAAAGAATGTGATTGAAAATGAATTTTGAAAATATATTCTTGAAAAATTGGTGCTCAAGCTAAGATTTTGCTCGTAACACAGCTACGTGATCTCATTTCCTAGCGAACTAGGCCAGGCTAAATCATTCAAAAGAAACGTGAATTTTTTTATACATGAAGAACATATTTATAGTACATAATACTAATATTGTGTAATCCATCTTACCAAACATACTAGTATCTTTCCAACAAGTTCAATTTCAAGTGCATACATTATCTTGATTACTATATTCTTTCTACATTATGTGAACGGAACTTGTTTTCATCGCTTCTTCAAAGCCTCTCTATATATTTACATAATTGTGCAGGAATAGCTGCATAAAATACAGTAATGGCGAGACGGACAATTTTAGCAGGCCTTCTCAGATTGCATTTTTTCATGAATTGCCTTGTAGCATTGGAGACTACAAAGAGGAAGCTTCGACTTGGAATCCCGGTACTTGTAAGGATTTGTACAAGAAGGGCCAGCACACTTTTCGTGTGGAGGAGGATAGCTGGAATGTTAAGTCAAAAACAAACACAAAATTAGTGTCATCCCAGTTACATTCGAAAGGGAGAAATGCAAATGAATGATCAAAAAATTCACACATGTTCATAGAGTGCATGTTTCGCACGAAGTATTATACAGGGTTTGGCGATATAACAGACAAGATCATAGCTTCTTTTTCTTCCTCATCTCTGCAGTACTATCCAATCATTCCCTACTAAACATGCTAAAAGAATAAAAGACAATAAATATAAGCGTTTTTCACTTCTGGCAGGCGGCATCTTTGCACCAACAATTTCCAAGAAATGTAATCAAAATGCATAGAAGACAATGAATTTTACCTGAGGGGCTTGGAGTCAAAAAATTTAGGCAAACCCATATCTTCTGGGAAAGTAACAATGGTACCAGCAGACCCCATAGTCCATCTAATTGTATTTGATGCAAGTGTCTTTGCATTTGCAACCTTCTCCTAAATAATGAATAAGAAATAGTCAGGGATTAGCTTCACAATATATTTGGAATAGCACCTTCTCAACACACATGGCAGTTACCTGTGCCAACTCTTCCCGGCGCTTCTTCATTTTGTCTTCTCGCTTCTTCCTGGTAGAATCTTGAGAAAGAATTTTTCTGATTGCCTCTGCCTGCAGAATTTAATATGCATGCTTGTTTCACAGATAAAATTCTAAAACCTAATATCAAAGAAGACAATGAAAAGGAGGAGAAAGGGAGGTAAACCTCCAACTCCCGAGCCACTTTCTCATTGTGGATTTTACGCCTCTGAGAGGCCTCTGCTTTCTTCATTTGTTGCTCGACTACTGACAGTATCTCCTTTTGCTCTGCATAAATAGGAAGATAGTCAAGATACAAGTCAAACAGTAGCATCCCAGGGAACAATCAACAGGGTCCGCAATGGATAGCACACTGTACTCACTTCGAGGTGGAGGCAGTGGTAAACCATCTGGGAACTCGATTTTACTTGCGCCAGATGAGGAGGCATCCTTGCTGGATAAAAGGGCCCGTTGGCGAGTTGTGTGAGTCATCTCCCTCTTGCTTTCTGTTTGTAAATTTGAGAGATCTTTCTTTTGTTTTTTCTTCTTCTTACCCTCAGGCTCATCTTCAGACAATAGTTCATCCTCCTCATAATCAGTGTCCTCCAGCACTATCTCAGAATTGGATTTCTCATAGACCCTTGAAAGACTATGTTGGTTTTTTGTTGATTTAGTCCCCAAATATTTATATCCTCCAACCTTTGCATTCTTCAGTTTCTCGAGGTACCGAATCTCAGCATCATCATCCTCCTCATCAAATCCCTCATCCAAAACACGTCTCTTAGGAGCCCTCTTACTCTTACGAACTGGTTCCAACTTCTCCCCTTGCTTCTCAAAGGCATTTTTTGCAGGCATACTTTTGATGTCCTCCTTCCCAAGACTAAAGCCACCTTGGGGGAAATTTTTCCATGGGATTCCTTGCAAACTACTTTTCTTATCTAGTGATGTAGAATGATCACGATGAGAATTTTCCTGAAATAAAAAGAAAATGTCATAAATGAAAAGATTTTAAAGTCACTAATAGCCAGATGTGTTAAATGACATTCAACATTCATGAATGCTGGAGATTTATTTTCCAAACAAACAGATTTTTTAATTTATTCCCCTGCTTGATAAATGAATCCCACATCTCCACATGCACAGTGATCTCATATCATTAGAACCAAATATATCCAATTAAGTGCTTTGCATCATCAAAATTTTTCATACCAAACTTAAGTGCTTTGCAGCATCAAATTTTTCATAGCTACACTTTTGCAGAAACCAAAAAAAAAATATATATATATACCACGAGGCAGTTTAAGACAATGCAAGAGTCAGAAAACTTGGCTTTCCCATCGGGATTAGAATATACTTTAACATAAATATGGAAATTGTTAATTTCTTGAAGGAAATATTTTCAATGTCGTTGGATTATATACAAATTCACTTCCATTTTATTTTGTTTTTTAACTCAAATTTCAACTTACCAGAACATATATCATGCTCGTACAATATTAAATTTCTGAACAAGAGAAGTAGATTACCATCTAGCAAGCCCTTCTGAGTTAACGTGGCTTATTCTCCCTATCAAATGCATGGCACCAAGAGCATGTTTTGGTTGTGCTCAAAATTACTTTCTTAAAATGTAAATTAGGACTTACTTTCTAGAAAAATAATTTTTTTTAGTATGAAAAGTAAGTTTGATCATGTTTGGCAAAATAAGTGACTTTTTAAAGCTTAGCCAAACGTTCTTTAAACATATGAAAGGAAATCAAAGACCAAAATGAAGGTAAAATAATAAACAAACTGAGATTAATCAGGTACCAAATATTTGCGAAGGTGAGAAAATTCCCAAATCCATAATTCGAGAAGCAAGAGTTCGAACCCTTATAATGAGATTCTGCCTCACCTGACCACTGTTTGACAATTGATCGATCTTAGCCGAAGACCCACCACTTGATGCACCATTGGAACTGGATTTGTTTTGAATTGTGTGCGTCAAACCACCAACCTTCAACATAACTTTTTTTGGCTTCCCGTCATTTGCCATTGCAGCCCTCAATACACCATTACTGAATAACATATTTGATCCACCATCAGATCCACTCGCTGGAAAGCCCCTCGAAATGCACTGATTAAGATTAAACACTTTCTCTTTAGAATTAGCATCTCTGTCATTCTCATCACTTGACACTTTGCTCATATCATCTGAAAGTGGTGTTGACGGCATGGGAGATCTATCAGAGAGTGGTTGCACCTCAGGTATAGATCGGCGTGAAACCTGGCTCCTCCTTTTTCTTGTAGTGACTCCAATACCTTCAAATCGAGGAGCCCTAAATTGATCCATTGTCTAGAAAGATTCTTAATTCCAATTTCTACTGTAGCAAATGTGCCTATTAAATGCCAAAGGACAACAATGGTATACGAGCAACATAGTACGTTGAGTCTGCATCCAACAAATCAAAACTTCAAACAAAGACCGTAGAAGCCCTTGAAAACATTTACTCTTACAGCCCAATTGACAATGTAATGACATAAAAAGAACTCATCTATGAATTTGAAGGGTAAAAACGAATAAATACAAACTTCGAAATTCACAAACCAATAACATTGTCAAAAGCAATACCTTTGACGCAAAAGGGCACAAAGAAATCAAACTTTACATCCATATCGGATGATATTAAGCCAAACAATGCACAAAAAGGCACCACAACATTGACAAATTAACATAAAGATCAGTAAAAACACCTCAATGTAACAAGGCAATCCACCTACTCTAGCCATAGCATCAAAGAAAAGTAAATTATCAAAATCCCATAGAACAAGACCAAAAAAAAAAAAAGTTTATCAGTGACATCACTTGCTGATAAATTCATATATTTTAAAAAAACAAGAAATCTTGATGAACAATTGGACCTGATCTTATGCATACAAGCACATTGAAATTCCACAATCAAGTAGCCCAACACATTTCAGTACAGAAATCAAAAGTAAGCACCAAAATCCACATGAAGCAATCCTCAGCCCACCCCATCCCACAAAACTATATGCATCACACACAGAAAACTCACATGCCTTAAACACAGACCCACATACTAAAATTAAGCCCAAATCAACAAACTCAAAAATGCAATACATTTCATTACACGTAAAATCGTAAAAACACAGACGAAAGAAAAAGATTTACCTTGCAGATGAAAAATAACGCGACGGCGTAAAAGACAAGAAATAATAGAAAACGAGCGAGAGAGAAACAGACGATGTAATTGAGGCAGAGAAAATATGGGTCCGGTGTAAGATATTGATATGTATATGTAGATGCAAAGATGGAGAGAAGAAGAAGAAAGAGAAAATTGGGATTTGTGTGTTAGGGTTATAGATATTGATATGGGGGGTCTGGTAACTATAGCAGTAGTAGTAAAGAAGAGTCTCAATTTCTTTCTTCTCCATCTTTTTTTTCACACACCTGTTTGTGTGTATGACAATGCGTGTGTTTTCGTGGAGGGATTTTTTTGTCTTTGAGTGACACTCGGTCTCCTGACTCAGTCAGGTCCTGACGAGTTAACTCACCTGCCTCTCTCCGTAAGCTTCTCTTTTATTTTCCCTCCACTTCTTATGCTGCAACTACGTGCGTAGGTTAAGGTGATCCTACTCCCCGGTTTATTATAGCAACACCAGGTCCCCCATGTGTGATTTCTTCGTGCGCGTCATTCAATTTTTCTTGCGAAATACCAATTTATTATTAATAAATGGCCCCACAATTTGTGCAATTTGTGTCCTACAGTTCCAAAAAATATAAAAAGAGAGCAAAAAAATAAAAAATAGAAATCCATATTTTAATGACTGTCCTTAATTTTAAAAAGTGGAAATTGCAAGAAATGTTCACTTTCTTCTAGCCACTAGAGATGGCAATTTTCCCCGCCCCACCCCGTCCCCGTGGGGCCCTGCCCCGAATGGGGCAAAAAAACCCGCCCCGAACGGGTTGGCGAGGTGGGGCGGGGCGAGGTTCGCCGCCC